AAATGATTCCACAAGCCACTCAGAAAAAGTCATTACTTTGTGTTACTGTTTATAGATATTAAAATATTGTTGTCATGTTAGACAGACATATTAGAAGATAAGTTCAAAAAGCTCTGCCTTGTATGTGTTCTGGCTTAAAAATAACAAATATTTAACTACTGTCTTTTCAGTGTGATAGTTTTCTCTTCAGGGACCTACTGTGAAAGTAATGTTATTAGCCTCATGTTATTGAGAAATTCGAGGGAAGTTTCTCTTTTCCAAAATACATCTTATAAAGTAGCTAGACATTCTTGACAAAGTCTTTCAAAATATTCATTGGTGGCAAGTTGTTTTGTTTTCTGTTTTGAGATACTTATTTCTCCAGAGTTGCACTGCTAAATTATGTCATGTATACATTCATTAAGCTCTGATTTTCTGTCATCTCCTCTTCTAAAAAAGAACTGTTTGTTGAGTTGATTCATAAGCATTCAGAAAATGTGTTAGAATTAGTTGGACTATGCATAAACTAATGAGAAATATATTTTGTTTTGCCTTTATATATGTTTTATTATAATGAAATTGGGTTGCATTAGCCAAATAGTTAACATAATTAACCTAGTAATTTTGTTTTATTTTTTGTTATTTCGTTGCTTTCTTTGGTTTGTTGGCTAAGTGATAATGTAATATCACCATCTTGCCTTTGTAAAATGCATTATCATCTTTCAAATATTAGCATATTGCTTGCTATTTGTAGAACATTTGTACTTTTAAGTCACTTAACAAAGGGCATGGAAAGTTAATTTTTTGTGAGACATTTAGGCTTTTCTTGGACACTTTAGGCAAATGGAAAAATTATGCAAGATTCTTGTCCATATAAACCAATTTTTATTTATGAAAAGTTAATTGGTCCAAGTGAGTATAAAATTTCAAGTTTCAGTCTCATTATTGAACTAAGCTAACTAGACCAGTTTGTATTTTAATAAACGTATAGTATATAAACACATAAACCACTTCAAAGTAATCACAATATATAGATTTTTAACTATTAAATTTTAATTACATAAAACTTTGTTTTCATGTAATTTAATGTGAATTATTTGAAGTCTTCCTAATATATTTCCTTTTTTGCATTAATTGAACACAGTGTATTTGTTAATAGTTATTAATAAAATTTTAGATTCATTCAGATATTTCAGCCTGGCAGGGTCTTACACTTTGCCTCAAGATAAACATATGAAAGAGGGAATTGGGTCATAAGAATTTAATTCAGTTAAACAATGTTCATGGAACTTTTATATGCACCGGGTATTGTGTTCATAGTATAGTGAGAATGCCAAAAATACTTAGCTCTGCTTCTACTTGGACCATTTATTTATTAGTGACTTAAGAGCAAGTACATTTAACTTTTTTACAGAAGTAATAACATGTATCACTTAAGAGATTGTGGGAAGTGACTAGCAAAATATCAAGAAGTTACTTTGGTTTTTTGCTTTAAAACATTGTAGGGGCTGGCTGCTTGGCTCAGTTGGTTAGAGCACAGCCTTGTAACACCAGGGTCAAGGGTTCTGATCTCCATATTGGCCAGCTGCCAGAAAATAAATGCATGAATAAATAAAATATTGTAGGTTTGAGAGGGAAGATTTGTACCCTCACTTTAGAAGAAAGTCTTCAACTAAAAGCAGGTTTGGAAGGATTTGGGAATATATACAAAAACTAGTAAATTTATGGTGAATATGCAAAGAATTTTGTATTGTTAAGTTCCTAATGTAAAAGGAAATTTTCTTAGCATTAAAATGAAGAGATATACAGAAAACCTCCTGACTAGAAAGGAATAGCATTGTAAAACTTTTCAATATGATATTTCTATTTCATTATTGATCATAGAAATAATGAGAAGCAAAGCAAATATCAGGTGGCAGAAAAAGATAATTTAAGACCTTTTCTGGGATCTGGCATTCATAGATTCAGATCACTTCAGTCCAACAAATATGTAATGTTTTTCTGCTCTTTGCTAAAGAATTTAGAGGCAACACCCAAATAATGAGAAGCAAAGCAAATATCAGGTGGCAGAAAAAGATAATTTAAGACCTTTTCTGGAATCTGGCATTCATAGATTCAGATCACTTTAGTCCAACAAATATGTAATGTTTTTCTGCTCTTTGCTAAAGAATTTAGAGGCAACACCCGAAAAAGCCTGCACTAGGTTATTACCTTTATAATTGGCCAAGGAGTTTTGACAATTACGATAGTTTCTGAATCCTAAAGCTTTGCCATTTAAGTAGAATTGGAGAAGAGAAGAGATTAGTCAGTGATCGATAATGATTGAAAATTCTCTTCACTCAAAATCCTACATTGTTTTCAGAGACCTAGCTCAGGATTTATTCTCTTCATGAATCCTTGTTAGGTTAACATATCCCAGAGTAGTATTTCCTTTATTTTGATTTTCTAAAGTACTCAATTTTCCAAATACTATATTCTAGGTATTTGATGTGTGCATATTTTGTTTTCTAATCTAAATTTTAAGACTCAAAGAAAATTATTATTTTCTCTATTTGCGTATATGCTGAAATGCTTAGCCTTTGCAATTCTAGGCACAGCGCTAGCATATAAAATGTTAAATGAATGTCTGAATAACTGATAGCATCATCAGTGTAAACAGAAATAATTAGAAAGATTGAGGATGGATGGTGTTTTTTATCTATTCGGGGAATGGTTCTACATAAAGAATGAATTTTGTTATATGTAAATCAGGTTAAGATTTAGGAATGTCAGGGATGAATGATTTTTCAAAGGATCTTAACAGATTTATATCAAGGACCAGAAGAGTCAGAACAGTATTTTCCTGGGTGTGTGCATGAGAGAGAGAGAGAGAGAGAGAGAGAGAGAGAGAGAGAGAGAGAGAGGAGGATTGGAAAATTGAAATTTCATATAATGCTCACTTAGACTTAAAAGTAGAATATTTGTCTTAATTTTTCCTGAAGGGGAAAATATTTTATATCTCTTTGTAATAGCACCATAGCTCGTGTAGTAGGTGCTAAAAAGCTAGGGTTGTTTTTCTAGTTTATTTGAGAATTAGTAGGGAGTAAGGAAAAGGCAGGCCAAAGAATTAGATATATGTGGATAAATAATATTTATTTGAGATCTTTAATATATCATCTGATTCTTTTGACATCCTGTGAGGTGGACAAGTGTCATTTGTCCTTTTATAATAGGGAAAGTGATGCTTGGTGAGTTCACTACTTAGGGTCAGGTGCCTAAGTACTTCAGAGCCTGAAAGCCATATCTTTCTATAAATGCTTTTTCTTCTATTTTGAAAAGTAACAAAATAACAGAGTGTATTGAAGGTAATATTCATATACCAAACCGTTTTTCCAGCTTTACCACTTCCTAACTAGGTTACCATGGGTAAATTCTCTATGGGTTTCTGAATCATCACTTATAGTATTCTAGAGTGGCTTATCTCAAGTTCCATTTCAACTCTAAAAAATAGGCAGTAATAATTTATTAGTTGAATAAAATTGTATAAGTTCAGTAAAACACTAATCCTAAATTTGAATTAGAAGTATCATTATGAACTAAAGTTGTTTTTCTTTTAAAAATACGTATTTGTAAGCTCCAGTGACTGAAAAATCCTAGAATCATAGCACCCAAATTATGGTCTCTCATACCGTTTCTCTTGAAAGAAATTGGGGATCATCGGAGTAATGAGTATTTTGATTTTGGGGACAGGAAATATAATAAGCTTGTAACATGTTGACATACTGGAAAAACAAGGAAGCTGTTGAAAATGATGACTAGGGACATATCAAAACCCAGGAGCCAACTTAAAGAGTTCCCACTGAGCAAAGAGTGACAATTTGAACATCAAGATAATAACCACATTGCATTGAAGCACATCAAATATGTTTAAGTCTACCAGTTCATAATGCTGTTTAACAAAGAGAAGGTGGTCATTGATCACCTTTAGTGTGTACTAGGAAACAAATTCATTATTTTGAAAACACAAAAAGGAAAATTGGATAGTATTTATCCAGCCTTTCCTATATGAACTGTACCTTGTAATAAAAAAAATTGATAAGTGGAAGTTTTTATATTCCTGTTTGGAAATGGAGAAGAAATAGTAGAATTAGATTACTGTTTTGTAATCTTGAATGAAATAATGATCATCAATGGCCTCTAATATCCAAAAAGACAACCAGACATTGTATGCCTCACGATTGAAATATATAGTACCACCTATGTAGTATTTTTGCCCAAAATTGAATCTGAGCTCACCTCTAGACTCAGTTTACAGGATATGAGGGTACTTCAAAAAGTTCATGGAAAAATGCAATTAAAAGATAATATGAATCTTTCTATGAACTTTGCAAGGAACAGAGGACCATCATACCTTGGGAACGTAACCAACAAAAATCAGAATGTGAGAGACTTTTTGTATAGTTTCTTCAACAAATAAATTGCTAGGAAAAAAGGAAAAAACCTATAGATTTAGGAGACTTAAGAGACATGTCAAACTGCAAAGTGTGGGTTTTATTTGAATTATAATTTTAACAAATTTTTTAAGATTATGGGATAAGATAATGGATATATGATAATATTAAGGAATTATTTTTTCCTGTTTGATAAAACCATTATGGTTATGTTTTTATTTTGTATTGTTCTATATTTTTATATTATATATAATGTATATATTTTTATTTATACATTTTATTTATAGGGATATATATTTAAATATTTATAGATGAAAGTTTATAATTACAGGATTTGGTTCAAAATGCTCCAATATTTGGGGCTGGGGGAGATTATATATGAAACACGATTGGCTATGAGCTGATAATTGTTGCAGCGGCATGATAGAGGTTTATTATATTAGTCCTTATTTTTAAAACATTTAATAATAAAATGTTAAATAAAACTTATTATTTGGAGGGTTTTGTATTTGTTTCTTTGGTTATCTAATAATCTGCTTCAAAATAGTATATGACTGTATTTTAAAACAATTTTTTTTTTTTTTAAAACAGGATGCATATGGTCCATATTCCCCTGATGAGTGCATCTCTTTGCCTATTTACACAAGTGCTGAAAGGGATCGTGTGGTAACCAATATCGATGTTCCATGTGGGGGCAACCAAGACCAGTGGATTCAGTGTGGAGCAGCTCTGTTTCTGAAAAATCAGTAGATTCGAATGACAACAAAGTCCGTCTTAGCAAAGTGAAACATTTATTATATAAGCTTTAAATACATTCTCAGTCTACATTTGAAATGTTAGTTCAAAATATTATCATACAGTTACTCTATGTTGATCTCATTCAGTTTCTATTATAATGTGTAATAACAGCACTGTGCACCTTTTAATGGAGTTAATGTCAAAATTGAGTATTCCTTTGATAACATTAAATATTTCTGTGAGGAAGTTCACTTTTCCAATGGCTCAAAAATTTGTTTTAGGTAAGAGGTTTAAAATATTGTATTTAAGGAAACAATAATAAATATTTTGGCTGTCATTTTTACATCATAATTATTTAATAAAAATATAAGATTATTAATTTTTCTCAGTCTTTCATGGTTTTTAATATATATACAACTTTTAACTGGAGAATGTATTATATTTTCAAGTTATAATGTATAATTTATACATATATTAATATAGTTATAATACATTGTATCTTGTGTGATTTATTAATATAATTATTACATACAATATATTACATATATAATGTTACATAAATATATATTGTATAATTATAACTAATATTTTAAGGTAATGAATAAATGAAGAATCCTGATGAGACAATAGTGGAAACATAAATTCTGGATATGTTCTTAAACATTGTTTTTTTTATATTTTTAATTTTTTTAAAGAGCTATTTAATCTCTGCAAGATTCCCTGAAATGAAAGGATCCAAAAATACTGTTCAGTTGAATGATAAACATTTCAGTAACCTACAAAGTTATTTCCTGCTATATCCTTTCAACAAATTCTAAGAGCTGAGGCCTGTGTTTTTGATAGGTGTTTATAACAAATGAATCATATCATTGAAAAGAAGTTATATACTCAGAGGAGAAACAAAGGAAAAAATGAAAGGAAAAAAATATTTTTAAAAAGAATATTAATTCAGAGTAATATCATCTCAAAATAATCCTAAAGAAATGAGAAATAATAGCACAGAAGCCAGGAGAAGAATTTTATAAAAAGAATAATCAAATGGTAAAACATGATGATTTCCCATGTATATAACTTTATACCATCTGTTTCTGAGAAACAGATTCTGTAATGGCTGGAAGCTTAAATATATTTCATATTCTAATTTTAAAGTTCATGAGCAAACTGAGTTGGATTCAGAAATCATCACTAATTTTCATGCGTTACCATTTGTATCCATCCAGGTCCAGTCGGGAGACAAAATACCACACTGTGATTTAGTTTAATGTAGAAATTCATTAAGATATGACAAAAGGGTAACTATAAGATTTAAGAAAACTCTGCTAATATTTGACCTGAGGGCTAATGGGAGTATCTAAGGCAAAACAAATGTGGAAGAGAGACTTCCCAAAGCTTGGAGTTCAGACTTCATTGAAGAAGATACAGTCCACTGATGAAAGAGAAGTTTACTGATTTTCCTAGGCCAGAGCTTGTCTGCTGTCACAGACTGCAGGGAAAGCAGGAAACAACCCTCCAAGGCAAAAGCAAGCCACAGTCAGTGTGGGTGGGTTGTGAGCATCCAAAGGGAGTGGGAGTTCCAAGGCAGGCAGGAGGCCTGGATCACACAGTTTCTATGGTGAGTGAGCTGCAAAATGATCACTAGTCTTGGCTGGGGCTGCACCATTAACAAAGGATCACATTCTGGGTGTGTGGCAGGGACAAAGGTCTACTGTCCTCCCACTGATACCACTGACCAATGCAACAGTCGCTGCAACTAGCTGAAGCAGCCTCTTCCTCCTGCAATGTCCCTCCGACTTGCTCTACTGAGAAAGTTTAACCTCATACTCATCATTGATTGTAAAAGGAAAACCTTAAAGGGATTCTGTGCGTTATTGCAGAGCAGATACCAAAGAATAAATTTCAAGTCAAGAGGTGATACATTGGAACTGACACGCTTTTGTGTTCAACTATTATTTATCTTTATTCAATGAATACATATTTATTGAGTGTCATATTCCAGACACTGTGCTAAGCACTGAAGGTTCAGGATTCATTAAATATGTCCTTATCTTCATAGTCCTGTTCACTGCTCTATCCTTACTCCCTCCCTGTAACAGTACCTGTCACACAGTAGGTGTCACAAATATTTGTTGAATGAATGAAGAGTCTGACTAGGGAGACATAAAACTGTCCTACAGTATGCTAAATAATAGAGGTAATAAAGGTAATTTTCCATACATGTAGGCAATAGCTATCAATGTTTTGTTTGTTTTTTACAGAAGAAAAAGGAAAAACAAGCATAAACCAAAATATTATGCTATAACCATTACAAATTTGGATTATGCTAGGCCTAAATTTATCCTTCCCCTTTTTTCCAGTTCCCGAGCACCATTTCAGAAGGGAGTAAGGCAATAGAACCCTAGTGAGGTAAAAGCAGAGACGAGAGAGCAAAATGTGTTGATATGCAACACGATGGATAAATAGTCTTAATTCCTCGTTTTTAAAAGTGGATTACTTATTGGTTAGCAAAGTAAGGATTAAAAATAAAACAAAGTTTGAGTTTTATGGGAAGATTGCAAAGCAACTTAAACCATATAAAAAAAATAATGGAATCAGATTATAGCCTAAATATAAAATTTAATTATTTGTTAAAGTCAATGACACCTACGTGTTTTAGAAGTTAGCTTCATTTCTATTTGAAACAAATTTTCATTAAAATAGGAATTATGTGACTACAGCTGGGTCTGCTAGTAATGGATGTATCCTTAACAGTGTTGCGGCTGCTAACTGGTTTGTAGTTTTAAAGTTGCTTCCCACATATAAAGTACAACTCTTTTGTGTTAGAGACTGCTACTTGTCTCCCAATATTTATTCTCCCCTATTACCATAATAATACAATGTTTAACTTGACTATGGCATACTCAGAATAAAATCTACAATTCCTCCATCTCCCTTTCATTCAAGTGTGGCCATGTGAGACTCACTTCTAACCAGAAGAATGTGAGCACGAATATCCTATGGTAGCTTCCTAGATCCTTCTTTACAGGACATGTTCATACACCATTTTCTTTCTTCTTCAGCTCTTCCTCTATTCTGCTGCCTAGAACAGGGACACTGCCAACTTGGACATGGGTCTTTGGGGACTTTATGGAATACAGATCCCTCCCCTGGACCACTTAACTCTGGACTTCATTTATACAAGAGAGATTTTGCAATCTTAGGTGGGGTGGATAAATGACAGCTGGCTTGTGGTGTGGACAAACAGGACTGACTGCCCACAGACAGTCTCTCCAAAAACAAGGACTACTCCCAAGTATTCAGACTGAACTGGGAACCCTAAGTTGTAGGCACTTTAAACCTGTGACCTCTGACTGATGCAGGTCCCACTTGGTTGGGGGAGCTGAAAATTGTAAATAAAACTCTTTCCAGGAACACTGTATACACCTTTAGGACTGCACTTCTTATGTGGAAGCCAAGCATTTATCTGCCTCCCTCCCCAAAATGCTTTTTACATTTTTCAGCTGTTGTAATGAGAAGTATTGCTTTCATAATCCAAACAAAACACTCGTTTTTAAAAATTAAAGAAAATGTAAACTTAAAAAACAGAATGTATAGAAGCTGGCTCTTCGTATTTTAAGATAATTCCCTTCAGAGTCTCTTTATTTGCAAGCTTTCTAATGAATCTGTAGTATGAGTTGCTATTGAAGAATTTAACTCAACTTTTTATAACCTCAAGTAAGGGTTCATTGGCACTTGTATATAACAGGCATTTGATAAAATTATTTTAGATTAAAAAGCAAATATGGCATTTTTACCTTGGCATATAGCTGCAATCAGAAATGTATGCAGCTTCAAAGTTCAGTATCTTAAGTGAGAAAGGTGGTGAGTCAACGCTTGCATGGTGGCAAGAGCCCTGGACTTGGAGTTAGGCCACCAGACTGCCAGTCTTATCTGGCCCCATCACTTTTGCGAAGATATCTGATCCTTCTGAACTTGGTTTTCTTCACCTATAAGATGTGGATTATAATTCCCATTTTGAAGTGTGATATGAAGATCGAATAAAATGCTATATGATATTACATAAACTAGTATAATTTAAATTTAAGTTATTGTTATATCATTATCTTGGGACTGCTTGTGAATTTAAATGCTAAGATGTTAACTATATGCTAGGCATTGCTCTAAGGGATAGAGAAAAAGAGAGACAGACATTTATCATCTCATACTATAATATCCATTTTACTGATGAGAAAACCGAGACATTGGTTAAGTGTCTTGCTCAGCTAATAAATTGGCAAAGTGGCAAGAAAGAAAGCTCTCACTGTTTTAGCCCACACCCCCACCCGCACAAAGAACAAAGTCAGCAAAGCTGAATTCTCTAGCACGTATCATCTTGGAAGTGAGTATGCTAAGAGGAATAAGTGAGGATATTTCAGAACCACAGAGTGATCAGTTCTTCATCTTGACAAATATTTGCTACAGATGAGCTCCTGGCAAGAAGATAAAATGAATCGACAGTGCCAGTCGAGATACTTGTTACATTAGATATTTTCATTGAAGAGTCACCTCTATAAACCTTGGGAAGAGAGTAAAGGGGAAAATGCTTTGAATTGTGAACTTAGCTCTCACAACCATCAGCTAAAGCTTCCTTTACTCCAAACACTGAGTGATCTCTGCATGCACAGTACTGCCCTAGGGTTCTTGAGGGCTTTCAGACACTGTATAAAAGGAATAATGAAATCAAGTCTTTTTTTTTCACTTGTAAAGAACACCATGAAATATTTCAGACAGATATATGTAGTGTGTGTGTGTGTCTCTCTCTCTATATAGAATAAAGTATAAAGAATAATAGAATAAGCACCTGTTCCTAGCATGCAGCTTAAGAAAGAGAACTTTACTAAAATCACTTAACCTGCCTGATATATTTTCAGTATCTCATTTCCCACCCTCCACCTAGAGGCAACAATTACCCTGATTTTGGTTTGTATAATTCCCTTGGTATGATGGTTACTTTTATGTGTCAACTTGACTGGGTTAAGGGGTACCCAGATAGCTGACAAAACATCATTTCTGGGTGTGTCTTTGAGGGTGTTTCTAGAAGAGATTAGCATTTGAATAAGGAGACTGGGTAAAGAAGATCCACCCTCACTATTATGGGTGGTCATCATCCAATCCATTGAAGGCCCAGATAGAACAAAAAAACAGAGGAAGGATTAATTCTCTTTCTTTTCTGGAGCTGTGACATTCCTTTTCTCCTGCCCTTGAATACAGAAGCTCCCT